GTCTTTTTGAGACAGGATCTCCCTGTAGCCCCAGCTGTCCTGGAACTTACTATGTAGACCAGGCTGGCCTTGAACTCACAGAGATCTGCCTGCCTCTGCCTCCTGAGTGCTGGGATTAAAGGCGTATGCCACCACGCCCAGCCACAAAATATTTTTAAAAATAACAAATACTTAAAAAAGACTAGCCTTGGCTACAAAGTGAATTTGAGACGCTGTTTCTAGAAAAAAAAAGGTATATATAATCAAAAATTAATTTAAGGGACTGGAGAGATGGCTAAGTGGTTAAGAGTATTCACTGCTCTTGCAAAGAACCTGGGTTCAGTTCCCAGCACCCACATTTAGTGGCTCACAACCATCTGTAACTCCAGTTCTAAGGGATATAATGCCCTCTTCTGGTCTCTGTGGGCATCAGGCATGCAAGTAGTGTACATACACATATGCAGGCAAAGCATTCATATACATTAAATAAAAGTGAAATAAATCATTAAAAAATGGTTAAAAGAAAGTTTGCCAGATGGTTTATTCAAAATGGTAGGAATATAAAATTGTGCAACCTCTTTGGAAAATAGTTTGGTAGTTTCTTTAAATATAAAACATGTACAGAGGGGCTGGAGAGATGGCTCAGCAGTCAAGAGCATATACTATATTGTAGAGGTCCTGAGTGTTGTTTCCAACACCCACATCAGAAGGCTCACAATTGCTCATAACTTGAGTCTCACTCCAGGGTGATTCAACCCCTTTGGCCTCCTTGGGCACTATACTCACATGCACATACCCCACCCAGATACACATATATACGCATAATTAAAATAATAAAATAAGCCTCAAAAATATGTTCAGGCTGGACGTGGTGGCTCATGCCTTTAATCCCAGCATTGGGGAGGCAGAGGCCGGTGGATCTCTCTGAGTTCAAGGCCAGCCTGGTCTACATAGGGGTTCCAGACCAGTTGGGGCTACAAGGAGACCCTGTCTCAAGAAACAAAACAAAGATTCAGCCTGGGTGTGATGGTGCATGTCTTTAATCCCAGCACTTGGCTGATAGAGTTAAGAGGCAGTGGCAGGCAGATCTCTGCAAATTAAAGGCCAGCCTGTTCTACATAGTGAGTTCCGGGCTAGCCAGGGCGACATTATGAGACCTTGTGTCAAAAAATGAAAAACAAAAGAAAATATGTGCAGACTATATGATCCAGCCTTTCTGCTACATCTAGCAGTGAGAGTGTGTCCAGACAGGATCCTCCTGGTCAGGGAGTTCAGGATTGGAATGGAAGCGTGACTGGAGTTTTTAAAGTAAAAGCTCTGGCTCTGGCAGCCCCACTAGGCTTGGCCACCCATTCATATATGCAGGTTAAAGACACTAGTAATGGTGAAAAGCAGAGAGGATAAGATGTATTTAATTTATCCACAACAGGAAGAACAGGTAAAGAGGTTCAGTGACCCCCTAAGTCCACCTTCTGGGAGAGATATGAGTATTAGATTTTAATAGGGGCAAAATTGAGACTGGGAGGAGGTCTGCATAATCAAACAGCTCTTGTCATGTCAAGTGTGGCCTGGTTGATCATTGTCTCGGTTCTGGTTCTGTAAGTGAAGTTATCACTGTCAGCTGTCATCACTTGAGGGGAACAGCCTCATTCTCATGAGATGATTACCATGCAGTTAGGACAATGACTGACTTGTCTTTCTGTATTCAATCTTGTGGGCTCAAGTGAGGAGCCAGTGTAGTTTTTGTTGTTGTTGTTTTTCCCACAAAAGTAGCTTCTACTTTTTCCTCTTTCACTTTTTTTTTTTTTTTTTTGACACAGGGTCTTACCATCTAGTCCTGGCTGGCTTAGAACTCACCATGTAGACCAGGATGGCTTCAAACTCACAGATTCAACTGCCTATCTCCTGATTAAAGGTGTGTGACACCATCTGGCCTGGAAATTGATATATAGCTTATGGTGGCCTGGAACTCATGTCAATCCTTCTGCTTCAGTTTCCCAAGTGCTGGGATTACAGGTGTCACCACCATGTCTGGCTTGCTGCTTTGTATGCATGTGTGTGTACACATGTGCCTATGCTAATAGAGACCAGAAATTGACATCTTGGTGTGTCTTCCTCAATCACTCCACTTTATTTTTTGTGTATGGGCATGTGTGTGGGGTTTGTGTGTATATGCACACGTTTATGTAGAGGTGCACTTGTGGAAGCCAGAAGAGGTTCTCTATTGCTCTCCACCTTGCTCCTTTGAGGCAGGGTTTCTCAATGAACCTAGAGCTTGCATTTTTCAGGTAGGCTGGCAACCAGGAAGTCTCAGTGGTCTGCTTGTCTCTGCCCTTTTCAGGGCTGGCATTACAGGTCGGCACGGGGCCACATCCAGTTTTATCATGAGTACCGGGATCTGAACTCTGGTCCTGATACTTGCACAATTGCTCTTAACTGCTGAATCATTTCTCCAGCTTTCTCCACCCTAGTGTTTGAGATGAGGTTTCTCACTGAACCTGGAGCTCATTGATTCAGTTAGATTGGCTGGTTAGCAAGCTACAGGTATCCTCCTGTATCTGTCTCCCCAGTACTGGAATTATAGGTACATGCCACCCTACCTAGCTTTTACATTGGTGCTGGAATCTGAACTCAGGTCCTTATGTATTCAGGACAAGTACTTTACTGACTGAGCCACCCCCCTTGCTACTTTTAAACTTTTTTTTTCTTTTTTCTTTTTTTTCTTTTTGAGACAGGGTCTCCTTGTAGCCCCAGCTGTCCTGGAACTCACTATGTAGACCAGGCTGGCCTCGAACTCACAAAGATCTGCCTGCCTCTGCCTCCCAAGTGCTGGGACTAAAGGCGTGTGCCACCACGCCCACCCTGCTTTTTAACTTTTATTAGTTCAAGCACATTCTCCATGCAGTGGTTCTAGTTGGGCACAGGAGCCAGGCAAACCATAAATATTTTTCTTAGCATTGGCACACAGCAGGAGCACCTGCTTCTCAGAAAGCCAGGCCTGACTGAGAGTATCAAAGGACAGAAAGAGCCTTACCACATTGACAGCCAAATGGAAAGGTTGACACTCGCTGTTAACAGCTTCTGAGAATGTTACCTGGCCAAAGGCAATCTCCAGTTCTTGCTAAAAATGGAAGTAACTTTTTTTTTCTTTGAATGCATCTTTCTTATAAAAGCATACATTTCTCACAAGAAAATGAGACTATAGTTTGAGGCAGGGGACCACATTTTCCCAAAGTCAGTTGCACAAAACCTGCTCTGATGCCCTGGGAATTTTGCCATAAGAAATGACTCAGTTGATTATGGGCTATACACCTGGAAACAGAGTTCAGCTCCTTTAGATTTGCCAAACTGCTTAAGAAACCATACCTGTTATGGTGCCCAGTAATATAAAAGTTGCTTCCACTTTTTCCCTTGATGTTGCTAGGATGCAGCATTTGCTTGCAACTGGCCTAGACCATAGTCAGGTCTACGCCCCAGCACCCCTGATTCAGACCCTCTGATGGCAAGACTGGCAATGAGTACTAGATATCAAATTTAGGACCCTGTGAAGAGCATGGGGTGGTGCCAGTCTGTAATCCTTGGCAAGAGGATCAGGAGTTCAAGACCAGTCTGGGCTGCAGGAATTCCTATCTCAAAAAGTCACAAAACCGAGCCAAACAAACAATCTCTGTGCCTCTGCATCTCACTGTGCGCTCCTGTGGATGGACGTGTGAGATAGCCACAGTCCGGAAGATGACTCGCCCACAATACGGTCCTGCTCGCCACCTGGCGAGACTTTGGACAGTCCGTCACCCGTCAGCCGGGTAATGCTTCTCGGCCCCCATTAGTACTCTGTTCTATGCTACCAGCTTGTGAGGGCGTCACATAGGTAGGACTAGCACGTTCTTTGGGATATGGGCATGCTTGTTTTCCCATTCAGCCGTAGCTGACGTGCCTAGTTGTGGTGGGCGTGAGTTCCTAAGGGCTGTCCTCAGGCGCCTCTCGCGCAACATCAAACGCTCCAAGAAGAGAACCAAGAGCTAAGAGAAAGGGGCAGGGACCAGCCCCTTAGACCAGCACCATAGACCAGCACCTGCAGTGACACCCGCCTTTATACCAGCTCCTGAGGGCGTGGCCAGCTGCTCCAGACGTGATAACGTCATGCGCGACGGAGGGCGGGGCCGGCACTGGCGTCCCTCTCACTGTCCCTAAGCTTCGGTGTTCTGGCCGCAGCTTCTGTTGGCCGCAGCTTCTGTTGCCCGCCCGGTGCCCTCCGCCCTCTATCCTCCGCCCTCCGCCCGCCGCCTGCCGCCCGTCGCCTGGCGCCCGGTCCTCGCATCGTCCCGGCCGTGCTGCCGCCATGGGCCCGCGGCAGCCGCGCCGCCGGGCCGAGAGCCGCTAAGGCGCGGTGCAAAGATGGGCGAGG